ACCTCAGACCTTTTTTTGCTCTTTCTACTGCAAATCGTGTGCCTCTTTTGCCTTTTCGCTTGGTATCCTTACATCACTTTGATAGTACATCGCGAGATCTTTTTACTTACATAAACATGGTCATAATTTTGTTAAAGGAGTAAAATGGGACAGAGACTTTCTAATTTCTAGAAGGTTAATTGTTTAACATCTAGGAAAGAAAAAAGTTGCCAAAAGTATTTTTATGGAGGAACTAGGATTCAATCTATATTAAATGAAGCTGCACAAGAAATCTCTGTCTAATCTTTCAATCCATATCTCTGCATTCACAACTTGACTTGTTATTCATAACTTGTGAATACTTAAAGAATAATGTTCTTGCTTGATATAGGTTCGTGGTTAGCATGAATCAAAATCTGTGTTTGTATTTTCTTTCATATCACATTTATTATTTGGGAAAATTCTAAACATGCAATTGCTGGTTCTAAACTTATTTGGGGGAAAAAGTTGGCAGCTCCAAGTTTCCTAAACACTTTAAGAGAACTTTAAACGAGGTGAAGAAGTTTAGATGATTGGGTTCCTCAACAACAGAGAGGTCATAAGTTATTGGATTAGAAACATGGTTTTGTATATTCTAATTGGTATTAAGGGATCTTTCTTCATATCTCTAATTTAGCAGTGACATCTATTGATTGTTCTATTTTGGTTGAAGAATGCTGAATCAAAACCTTGCACTCTCCCCAGTTATAGGTGTTGAATTTGGTCAACTGGGGAATCATGGTAGCCCTGTTAGTTGGTTGGCTACCTGAACTTCCATCTTGTTGGTGGGAGTTTGATTCCCTACCTTGTAATCTCCTCCCACATTTTCCCTTCCCCTTCCCCCTATGTATAATTAAAGTTTTTTAAAAAATGTGGTGAAACTGTTTTTCTAACTGATAAGGTTGACTGGAGGTTTGGTCATTTTCTATGGTCTTAGGTTATTTGACTGATAAATTATATGCATATTGTTGTAGGATGACATGGATGCGAAGATCCAAGAACTTTCTTATCAACTGGATTGTGCCAATCGGAAATGTGAAATTTACCGTGCAAACCTTTATTCAGTTTTGAAGGATATAGAGGACCATAAGCAACAACTATCAATTAAAGTCCAAAACATAAAGCTTAGCTTGAAGGACGGTCTCTGAATTTCTCCTGTTGTGGTATATGTTCTGTAATCCTGTACATAGTTGGTCCTTCAATTTTTATTGTACACAAGAATCTTCCTGGAATTCTTTTCTAAGGAAATCACCGTGTGCTCATTTGGCAGGTGTAGCATGTAGTGTTCTGTCCAATATCTTTAAAGTTGGCAGCACTTCATCTCTAACTTAGTCTCTGAATTTCACCTGTTGTGGTATATGTTCTGTAATCCTGTACATAGTTGGTCCTTCAATTTTTATTGTACACAAGAATCTTCCTGGAATTCTTTTCTAAGGAAATCACCGTGTGCTCATTTGGCAGGTGTAGCATGTAGTGTTCTGTCCAACAGAGGCGGACCTACGTTGAGGCTTGAGGGGTCACGAGACCCCGTTAGCCTCGGCAAAAACTATGTATATATATCTCTTGTATATCTCTTTGCCTACAGCTGTGACCCCTTAAATATTTTTCGTGTGCCCCCAAACTCAAAGAGGCGAACTAGAGGAGCGGTTTTGTGGGAAACTTAAGTTTTTGCTTTTGCTGTCGTGGGTTCAAAACCCATTATCTCTTTCTCCCCTCCTTTTTAGTTTACTTCTTTTAATTCAACTAATCTGTACACATAATAGTCAACTTCACTTTTTTTCTTTTTCAAATCCCTCCCTTAAAATTAAAAGCCTCAAATTATAATTTATCGCGCTTCAGAAGTAGAAAAAATACAAATCTTTTTGCCACAACTTTCTTCAAAAATGACTTTGACAAAGTAGCGGATATCCGTCAACTCTGGCTCATCAATGACAATTAATTAAGAGTTTGAGACTTTTCTTCAATTCTGTAACTATTGGCACACGCTTAATCTAGATTTGTTTAGTAAGTTTTTTTGATAATTTTTGAAGTTTGAACACCTTTTTGATCATAGACCCCTTATTTAACCGAGAAAAAGTTAGAAATTTTAAAGTTAGAAACAATCTTAAATCAAATACATTCCTTTCTGTAGCACCTTTTTTGCGAATAAATCTCTTTTTATTCGATGATTTCTATTTCTTTAGAACTTTTATTTATTTATATTTGGATGATAAGTTATCATAATCATTGAGTTTTCAAAGAGTTGCCCGCCAAATTTTATCGCTAGTAATTAGTATACAATGGTGCTCCGTCGTGCTCGAATCCTGGGTTCGCCTCTGCTGTCCAATATCTTTAAAGTTGGCAGCACTTCATCTCTAACTTAGTAACACTTGATCAACATCATTTGACATAAACAACGGTTTTATTGTAAGATTCAACACACCAAGATAGTTGGATGCAGTTTGATTGCTGAGAATATAGTGTGCAGGGCATCATACTTTACTTGAGATGAGCCATAAAGCATCACGTGATGATTGTCTTGGTTACCCATTGATTGAGTGGACATTTTAATTTTATCTAGCCAATTCATGGCAACTTGCCTTTCGGGCATGTCCTTTGCTGGAATTAGCTTTCGCACCCATATAGAAAAATCAGCTGCAGATAATCATTGACAAGAGTTCTCTTAACTAGTGTGAGTTGTCAACATTAGGATGGGCTCTACATTGGCAGCTTCCTGCAACTTTTAACTATTTTTATTTTCTTTCAAAGTAGAGTATGGTAGGGTGGAAGCTATAGTTGGCTCAACATAGTCGAAAAGTAGAGTATGGTAGGGTGGATGCTATAGTCGATGAAGAAAAGTGAAAAGAGTAGTGACTCAACATACTGCTATAGTTGGCGTTCGCATACTGATTACAAGCTGGAGGGTCTCAAGAAGAGTATGGAAGTCTAGAAAGGAAAATGTTGGGTGGTAGGATCTGCTTGCTAACAAAATCTTCATGGGCTTTCGGAGTACAAGCTTTAGTGGAGTGCAGAAACAAAAATATGAAGTGCACGCCTTAATAGTATGTATTACTGCATTTACGGGGAGTATTAAACCTATAATAGTGGAGAATATTAGTAATTCTCCATTCCGGAATATTAAGAACCCTTTTTTTTAAACATAAAATATACTTAGTGGTAGAAAAAAAAAAAAAAAAATAGAGGAAATTTTATTAATTAATTAAAACCTCTTCATTCAGCTTATCTTATTATAAAACTTGATGAATCTAAAGGATCTACTTTTGGATAAATACATTTGGCAGTCAATCCTCTTGATAGTACAGTAGTATCATCTAAATATGCGAATGTCACAGCAGTAGTATCATCTTAATATGCACATGTCGTAGCAGGAGTAGAGCTGATCAAATAGTTTTCGGGTATAAACTACTCGAATAGAGGTTATGGACCCTTGTTTGGTAGGTGTAATTCTTGCCCAATCATTAGTTACTAAGATGTTAGAAATATCTCTTCGCTAGTCAGAAAGAGAATGCAAAAAGTAGTAGATCAACGTTTTTTCTTGAACGATGAGAGTGGTACCAAATCAAGGCAAATTCTGAATAATACATATGACTTCAAAATAACTGGGTCAAGGTTGGCTAGTGAGGCGATGGAGAATAAGCTTCATCTTCGAGAGAGAAAAAGCCCGAATTATCAGCTAAGGCCCCTAAATGACCGCTCAATGATAAAGGAGGTATGGGTGCAGGCACAACTAAGAGAGAATTCTTTTCCGTTGTAAATATTCACTTGTAGCATACTATATTTCAATGGATTGACTATTTTTTTTTACCACGTGTACATTTTCATAATGATGGTGTTTTTTCCAAAATCAAACTTTCTTCTTCAGCATCTTGAACTTGAAGTATCCATATCTTAAAAGGTACCGTTAAAAGATCATCAATTCCTAATGAAATGGGTGTAACTATAACTTGTTCGGAACCCCTATATGAAATGTATATGCCATTCCGAGGTGATCTGCTAATCTACTAATAAGTTGTTCATGGCAATTCCGTTTATCATTTTATTGTGTAGACCAAATTGGTCCATTCTGCCATAACTACCTCCATATTCCGCTGAGTAGTAGCCGAAAATGGGTTGCATCAGTGATTATAACCAAATTATAGAGCAAGATCTAATAGTCAACAAATTGAAATTCATTTATCAACAGATTTCTTCTTCGATTTTAACTGATTTCATCTAAACCATTCAGGAGCAAGTTACTTTTTCCTTTTACTGTTTACGCAAAACAATTACCACTAGCTCTATAAGTTTCAGAAAACAGTAGTCCCGAAGTCTATAAAGGTAAGTGGCATGTGCAACATCATGAATACACTTCATCTCAATTTGTATGACATTTTTTGTTTTGTTATTCCACAATGTTTAGCATTACTATATACAGCAATAGTATCTTCAGTTTTTACTTCAAGAACTTGAAAATACTGACATACCTCTTAACTCATCAACTGCTACTTTATTATTTACCTTTTTATCAATATAATACAAGCCGGATTACCTTGTTAAATTTTACCTGCTCAAATCACATCATGTAAAATGGGCCAGAGAAAGGGTATAACACCTTAATAACGAACAAGCAAATTGCAGCAAAGACAACGTCAGGAAATGGCAGTTTGGGAAACAGGGGCGGAGGGGGACTGGGTGCAGAGGCGGATCCAGGATGTTTGAAGGATGGGTTCACTATTACTTTTTAAAAAAAAAATTAAACTAAAAAGTTGGTAAGGGATTTGATCCCCTGACCTTAGGCTATTGGAAATAAGAAACCAAAACCAGTGCACCACTTAGTCTCTTTTGACCATGGGTTCCATCAAGTATATATATCTATTTTTTCCAAATTATGTACATCATATCCATACTTTAACCCGAGGACCACGGGTGCACGTGAACCATGTTTCACATGGTAGATCCGCCTCTGACTGGGTGGTTTGTCTGAAAAGTCATTAACAGCTGACTGAAGTAGCAAGAAGAAATATAATTCAGGCAAAGCCAAAAGAGTAAAATTTAGTTTTGACAGAAGGCATGTAACTCAATCTTGTTCAAGTTCCTTAGTACGGAAGTCAATCTTTGGAATTGGTAACGAGTTAGTTTAGTTAGGAAGTGTGGTCGTCCAGTCCCTAATTTGAGAAGCAGCTTGGACAACCTTCAGCTTTAGCTGTGAATCCAGCTTCCTGGTAGTATGATCTCCTCTGCCTATGCCAGTGTCATTCTCATCATTTAAAATTGAACTGAAGATGGTAGTCCAAAATCTCAGGAAGACCGAAACAGTTGTTTGGATTTGCTGAGGTAAAAAGACCTTTACAGCATATCGTATTATATGAAGTACAAGTCAGTATAACACTAATTAATGGATAAATCACTATCATTCTAATTGTTCATCTTACTTGTTCAATGAAACTTGCATTATTCCTCATGGCCTAGCAAGTAGACAGTAATTAAGTAGTTGGTACCTCCAACCCTGTTGTACGACGGGGTAACGGAGAATTTTTCAGAGATAATAACCCTCACATGCTTTAACAAGGAAGAACTTATTGCAGACAGGTTATGCAGCCTTCAGAAAGCCTTTCCTTCGTGGAGAACTAGCAAAGCTGTTCTCTAGTTGCTAATGCTCTGTTCCACCAAAGATGAATGAAACATAGAAAATGTTAGAGGGGGATTCAAAAGGCAAACAAGTGTTCTTTTAGATGAGAAGAAGATTTTCCAGAGGCATTTCAATGACATCAAGATATCACTCAATGTAGAACTAGTAGAAAAAGTGACATAGTGATTGTTAAAGTGTCCTGCAGTGGTTTAGGGAATGGATTCTTGGAGAGGGGATGGAGAGCAAAAAAAATCACACTCCCTTATGGGTGGGGCCTACGGAAAAGTTTCTTGAAGGAGTGCGAAGATTTTGGAACGTATCATTCAATGTTAGGTGATGGGAGCATGGTAAGTTTTTTGGGGGTACAATTGGTGCAGGAACAACACTTTGAGTATCACATCTCCTAATATGTACAAAGTTTCATGCCAAAGGAGTTGCCAGTCCAAGGGACACGGAGGCTACAAGGTGGAGAAGTTCATTGTGATTTGAAGTTTAGGAGGAACTCGCAAGACTGGGAGATTTGTGCCAAAGGTTGATTGGGTCGTTTCACGAACAAGAATTACACATGAAAGTCGATGTATGGAGATTTTTTTTTTTT